CTCCTCCTAAGAAAATGTAGTTTTGGTACATAATCTGCATGTAAAAGATATTCGTGCAAGTATCCAGAGAACTGTTTTTTAATCTGTTATATGAGTCGAACGAGCTTTACATATGCAAAGGTTACTACTAGTATATTCTGAGTTACCATATCAATTAATTTGTTTGTGGTTTTTCAACTTTTCCTTGCAGGTTTCAAGAGCACATTCTTTGCGGCATCTCAATATTGGTGGAACATTTATCACCGATGAATCCTTGTATGCCGTTGCAAACAACTGTGCAAATCTGAAGGTATATATGTTTTTCTTGCTAAAATTTAGGATTTTAGTGTGCAAATGACGGCCTTAAAACAGTTGAAGATACTCTGTTGCAGCCTGCCTCAGCACGATACGAACAAAGTGAAACTTCATTCAAAAATTGAACACTGAAGCCATTATTATATTATTAAAAAGAACATATGACGCCGTCTGTAGAGTGTTCGAACATACTTTGAATTTTCAGCATCAGTTTTGCTGCTGAGCCTGCGTGCACGCAACCACTGACGTGCCGAGTTTTCTTGTGCAGAGCATCATGCTGTGGAGCTGCCGCCATGTCACGGCGGCCGGCCTGGTGGCGCTGGTGAGCAAGTGCCCGGAGTTAGAGTGCATCAACGTCGGCGGGATGAGGGTGTCGCGGGAGAGCTTTGCCGGCCTGCTCTCCATCAGCCCTGTTCTGAGGATCAGGTCCGTCCCGGAGATCGTCAACGCCAGCGTTCAGGTTTCATGAAGGAAAATGCGCTGCCGTAATCCAGTGGTTCATGCAACTGAAAATACAAAGATTGACGAGAAGGATTTGTGGCGCTTTTTTATTCCTGGTGTGTTCATGCTCTGTCTGTATGTGACTTGTGTTACAACAAATAAAAATTAGGGTTGCCCGTCCATAGCCCACCTATGTTTTTCCATCAAAATCAGGCACACAAAAACCCTATCAACATTCACTTGTTACCGAGAGGTGAGGAGCACCTATTTGTGATCGGTGGATCTTTGTGAGCATGATTATAGCCACTGGAGATTCAAAAAATGCTCAGAAATACATACTTGTGCTGTGCATTAGTATAGATTTTGTATGCTTCGGTACAATCTCCTAAACACATCAAGAGATGTGATCTCGTCATCCATTTTATAATAAAGGATACTATAGTCTTTTGGAAAATACATCGCCTCGCCGCCTGGGCCGGTCCATTGACGGATGTTGTACACTTGTACGATCAGTTCGCCAGGGAAAAATGTCACAAAAAGATTAGTGCTAGGTGAGGATTCCAACACGCGACCTCCTGCTGTAAAGAGTGAGCTTAGAGCATGTACAGCCGGACTTGATAAATCCGACTCCTCAAACACTTCGAATAGTGACTGGTCACCTTCAAAAAACGCATTCCACATCTGGACACCTCAATTATCATATCTCAAATCCATACAAACTCATGTAACTACGTCGACGCACACGCATCGTCCGGCCAATTCGCCTCAGTTCATTTTTTTTCTGCCAGAAAATTGCCGTGCTTGTAAACTAAATTTGTCATCCTCACGTCAACTAAATTGATTTGTCATGCCTAAAAATCATTCCCGAAAATATTAGGAACGCCGAGTTCATAATCTTTCAGTCTAGTTATTAAATCTCCCAACTAATACCGTTGTACAGGTCCAGGGACCTATCATCAATTGATTGATCTTTTTTTCAAACGTGGCGGGCAGGGGCAGGGCGGCTGCACGGCGCAGCGCCGTCCGCACAATCCAAAGGCGCCCCTGCTCCAACCGTGCAGGAACAAGAATCCAAGCCCCGTCTGTCCCCGCTCTGCGTCGTCCACTCGCGCCTCGCGTCGCCCTCCCGCCGCCCGCATCACCATCACGTGAGCCTTCGCGATGCTGCCGGCCCGCCGCTGGTAGTATAGTCCTCCCCTGCTTTCCTCCGCGCGGCCGGGGAGCCAGAGAGCGCGAGCTCGAGAAGCAAGCGCGCAGGAGATGGCGGGAGACGACGCCCGGACCGGCGCGGTGGCGCCGGCGGAGGAGGAGCCGCACGTGGAGCGGCTTCCGGCCGACATCCTCGCCCACGTCCTCTCCCTCCTCCCCTCCTTCCACGACCTCTCCATGTAAGAACCAAGAACGCGCCCGCCTTTGATTGATTTCCATGGGCACCGCTTCTGCTCTATCTTGAATTTGGTGGTCGTCGTCGTTCGCCAGGGCCGGGGCAGTGAGCCGGCGGTGGCGCCGCGCGGTGGGCCGGTCGCTGGCGACGCGGCGGCGGCTGAGCCTGGCGGGGCAGCGCACCGGCGACGAGTCCACCGCGCGCCTCGTCCGCGCCGCCGTCAACCTCCGCGACCTCGACATGTATGTGAGCCGATCGGTCAATCGATCGCCTGAGCAATCATGGCCAATCAAACACTCAATTCCCGCTCCACATCCCCAATTATAGCTTAATCATATCTTTCTAACTCTCTCCGCCCGTTCTTGGAGTTCACGAAGCTGCTGGGGGTGCCACATCACGGACCAGGGCCTGCTCGACATCTCCTCGGCGGCGTGCGTCGGCAACCTCACCTCCGTCTCGCTGTGGGGGCTCGCCGGGATCACTGACAAGGGCGTCGTCCATCTGGTAATTAATTTCCTCGTCGGTTTTTCCTCCATCGACCAAACTTTTTAATTTTGATGACACATGCCCCAAATTGTCAAACTGATGGTGTGTTCATCGATCCTATCTACCACCGGCTATTGCTATCAGCCTATCATAGTGTAGAAGGTGGATTTGGATACTGGATTCTGAGGTCGCATCGCGCGGGATGTCGTCAGGCATACTATTATGGCGTTGCTTTCAGAATAATTCATTGTACAGGTCAATGAGTGGACAATATACGCTTATCAGAACCATTTATTATGTGGGTCTGAAGAATCGTACTGATGCATGGTTCCCAATTTTTTTAAACAAAAAAAAAAATCATGAATCCACTTTTTTTTGAGGGAATGAATCCACTTGGTTACGTCCAAAAAGTCAAAAAAATATTTTTGCCAAAGTTAATCTGAACTACAAGAAATCTGTACTTTGTTGTGATAATTTTTACCAATATGAATTTGTCAAACCTGATTCAATTCCCTGCAGGTCTCAAAGGCTCGTTCACTGCAGCACCTGAACATTGGTGGGACATTCATCACTGACGAATCGCTCTATGCAGTTGCAGACAGTTGTACAAACTTGAAGGTGTGTATGTTTCTCTTCCCTGAACTTTACTGCTTCCTTTGGAACAGCTCTCGTGTATCAAGCTGCAGCTGATAAATTGTCTGAAATAAAAGGGCCTAATTAAGCACGTTAATTTATAGTTTGGAATATTAAGTGGTGTATGCAGTTCATGAAAAAAAAAGGAACAGTTATTCGTACATGTCATGCAAGTAGGTTAGTTGGACCTATCATGGAAAATGAACTAATTGTCATTAGTCAAGCTCAACTCTCTGGATGGAGATAGCCTCATGATTATTGCACTCTCTTGGGTACTTTTTAGTTTTTACAGTTGAGCGGCTCATTTCAGACTTTATTGAGATTTGCAGTTAAGGTTGAGAGTAACAATAAGGTTGCTTTGTGGACTTCATTTAGCTTTATATGCAGCCATTTCCAAGCAGCTCATATCACTTTCCAAGGCATATGATAGTTTGATTATCCGTGGACGATTTCTTTCTCGTTCAATGCCCTTTTTCAATAGTCTCGAAGAGAGAAAAATTACTTTTTTATTTATTGAGTCACAACCGAGGTCGTGGTAAATCCATGATAAAAATAAACTTTATTTACTATAAAAACAAACTTTTGAATTCAACATTATTTCATGACTTCTATTTCAAAGTCTATCTTTTAAGGGGGAATGGAAATAAAAGTAACCCCACTTTCCTCATTCCCTCTCTATTGCATGGGTGGAAGAACTAAAATAAAGGATTCTGAAGAAAAAAATTAGACCCTTGAAATCAATTTTTATGAGTAGCGCAAACGAGTTGCGATTTCTTCTTATTCCTACATAACATCTAGTTACAAGAATTTGAAATCGTAAATAGTGTCAGAATGAAACTTCATTGGATAGTAACGGGTTTGAGAACGGTGTCCACTCGGAAAAAGGAGAATATACATCTAATTTTATATAAATGTCACAAAATCTCCAAATGGATTTTGGACTCCTTTAAGCCCAACTTTAAAAAAAATAAAAAAATGTTTCAAAATCTAAAAAGTATATGAAAACAATCTCACATGTTTATATAAATGTGAAATCAAATTGTTGGTATCTCCAATTTGAGTACACACAGCTTACACTAGTTCTTTGTAGAAGTACTAAGTTGGAAAAAAAGTTCAAATGAATAACATGAATATACAAAAATTAAAATTCGAACTGTCGGTGCATGTTATGATTGCTATGATGTTGATACCAAGTAAAAAATAACACCCACCCCACCCCCACCCGAAAGAGTAAAAATGGCTTATTCGATCAAAAGCGAACACTACTAATGAGCGAGAGTTCAGATGATCCAAGGACAAACTAATTGTCAATAATTAAACATTTATAAAATCTTTAATTGGTCACACCTAAACTTGATATTATTACACTCAAAATAAGTCTATGGAGCTATTCTGTTAGGTTCATACACTCTAGAACACCCCACGAAGTTTGTAGATATTTAAGATTACTATTGATAATGACACATAAACACAATTGTAATAGTACAATGAAAATGCGTCAATTAGTTTGTGAACTGATGTGCTACTTTTGGTTTTCCCAGATTTGGAGAAAATTGTAACAAAATATTCCTTAAGGAACCCCATTGAACTAAGAAAAATACTATTACAATTTTCTTAGTTCAGCATAAGAAATGCATATGTATGGATAAATATTAGAATATGACAAATATGTATATTACTATAGTGTGGTTTAATTATTAATTGAAATGGTCATCGCAAAATATTATTTAAACGGGTGTGCCGAAAATTTATACATGCAATGCATTAGACGAATAGATAAGTTATAATAAAGTAAAAAAAAACATAGTTATGACTCATACTTTGTTATGAGTTGGTTGTGTCTTTTGTTTGTGTGTTCTTTTTAGGTAATGATTATGTTTGGGTCGTGCTATCTTTTAATGATGTAAGAGTCATGATTAACTTTAGTTTCTACATTTCTTGCCGGTGTAAAAGTCATAATCTCTCCACTACCGCCTCTTCATTAAAATATAAGGGTTGTGACGATGTTGATGTATATACATACAACTCTTCTGTGTGGTATAAAAGAAGTTAAATATAAATAAATTAAAATAATTATTTTTAACTCATTTTCGATTTATTAGCACTAATGAAAAAATTATTGGACTATTACAAATAAATGTATTAATTTAAATTTCTATTTAAATAAAAGTCTCATCAATTTTGTACTCAATTATTTGTGACAAATACTCATTTATAAATAGGTGCATATATTTGAATTGTTCAAAAACATGTTTGTTTGGGGAGACGTATAAATTGGAGAAAAAATCAGGTCTATTTTTTAAAATGTTATCAAATCATAGCATAAATTATTAAACATAAAACAAGTTAGCAATATCTATTAAGAAACAAATATTAAGGGACAACTCATTCAACTCGAAATTGTTAAAATTATCTTTTTTTATTGTTTTTTATAAGTTTTCTAATATTCAGAACAATTCTTGCGTTTAGCCATATTTTCCAATATAAGCTGTATCATACACCATTTCTCGATCTAGCTAAAGGTTAGTGATTTTTTTTTTGAAAAACTGAATAAACAACTTGTTGATACTATTTTCTTCAAAGTGTAGTTACTAAATTAATGGAAAATATTTAAAAATAATGACTCAATACTTCAACTAGATAATATCAAATTTAATACAGAAAAATTAGTCAAAAAAGACACTCAAAGTATATAGTATGAAATACTGAAGTAAATCAAACTATATGTTACTCCCTCTAAACAAATGCAAGACGTTTTACTGTTTTAGGTCATTGGATCTAGAATGTCTTACTTTTTTTTTTGCATTTGTTTACAGAGGTAGGATTTTGTTAGCATATACTCGCTCCGTCCCAAATTAATTGGGTTAACTTTATACTAGCTTTAGTACAAATTTAGTACAAATTGAGTCATTTATTCTGGGAAGGAGGGAGCATATAAGAAAAAGTTGTCCTTGGCCCAAAAATGGCCTAACAAGAAACCACGTCATCACCTTCCAATTTGGCAGATGGCCAAGGTTGTACACATACATAGTCCAGACAATATATTGCCGTTATGTGGTCCTCAACTACACGCTTATATTACCTCAACTACAAACTATAATTCAGTGCTGAAACGAGGATGGTTCCCATGGACTATATTTTGCAGAGTATCATACTGTGGAGCTGCCGCCACGTGACTGAGGCCGGACTAGTAGCACTCGTGAACAAGTGCCCGGAACTGGAGTGCATCAACGTTGGCGGGATGCGGGTGTCGCCGGAGAGCTTCGCGGGCCTGCAGTCCATCAGCCCCGCCCTGCGGATCAGGTCCATCCCGCAGATCCTCAACGCTGACGTGCAGGTCGCCTGAAAGAAAAAAGATACCACTCTTATATACCGCAGTCCATGGCTCCATGGAAATTACTATTGGAAGAAAAGGTGAGAATCAAGTGCTTTATGCCGTTCTTGATTCAGGTTGTGTTGATGTGTTGACAGTGTTGTGCATATGTTGACTTGTACATACATGTTGTAAAGAATAAAAGTGTACATACTCTGCAAAACTATGCATCCGGACTGTTCAAAAAGTTGGATGCTGTACAGTTACAGATTCATTTTCAGTTCATTTGTGAGATCAATTTGACAATAAGTTCCTTTGACTGAGATGTTCATGCCGGTGGACTAGGAACAGGGATCTCAATGTTATCTTTTGGGTCTTTTTGCTGTTTGTTTATTCACTGTTTAGCATTGCTTGAGTAATTGATGCTAGAGTTTCTCAGTTGGACCATGTGTTCCACCAAGATAACCTTCCAAGATGGAAACGTCTCGCCGGCCATACGCTAAGCTGTGAGACAAGGACGCGAACCCAGTCAAAGGGGCAGCTGCCTCTGTTCTAACTGTCAATAGCTGCACGAACAGAGTTTCGTGGGTTGGTTTGCTCTGACGCCATGGATGGAGAAGGCACTAGCGTGGGATAGCACGTCCAGTGAGTGAGTTGACTCACTCATGGGTTAGTCACCTGAACCACCCTACTACAAGACTTGCCGAGCCAACGAAATATTTCATTGTACAGGTCAAGGAGTGAGACAATATATACCAAAATTCATTCTGCAGGCCTAAAAATCGTAAATTGTTTTCAGTTTTGCCATGTTCATTAAAAACTTGTTTATTTATGTCCAAAAAAGTCAAAGAAAAATGGAAGAGCAAAACTGACTGAGGCAACCGTACTTTGTTGTGCTATAAAAAATGAACGGGTTAATCCAAACTACGGAGGCAACCCTACTTTGTTGTACTAATAATTTTACCAATATGAACTTATAAAATCTAGTTCTCTGTAGCAGTGGCGGAGCGTGAATCAAATATTAGGAGGGGCCAAATGAGTGTATATGGCATAGAAAAGGCTAGGATGATCAGAGACGCCGGACGATTAGTAGAG